CCACTAGTAGACATCACATACATGGCAGATAGAATAGCATCAAAGTCTAGAGCATAGATATCAATCCCCTTCTTCAGGAGATCAAGCTAGCGGGGCAGCTCAGTGGCCTGAGGGAACTGAACACGCCAAGCGTCGTCGAGACGAGAGAAGCAGCGCTGTGTGGCGTGCGGTCGTCCACACTGCTGACCAGTGCGGTCACCAGTGCGAATGACGTACGTGCAGCTAAGACCACCCCCACCCCCGTGCTGAGAGTACCACTCACGGACCTCCTGGGGCGAGGGAGTGTGATGCTGGCCCTGGCCACCGCCAGTGCCTCCACGGCCACCACCACCGCTGCCACCTCCTCGACCACCCCAACCCTTGCCGCCGCCTCGTCCACCGCCACCCCAACCGCCGCCTCCACTCCTGCCACCTCCCCCGCCGCTGCCGCCACCACCCCCACCGCTACCACTCGCCCCTCCAGCCGAGCCACCACCCCCACTGCCTCCACCGCCCCCACCGCCGCCTCCCCCGCCGTCACCTCCACCACCCTTGCCCCCTTTGCCCTTGCCGCTGCGGCGTCCGCTCGAGGCAGACGCAGCGCCGACCTTCTCAGTACCAAGAAGGTCGACAGCAGCAGCAGAGGCGACAGAGGGAAGAAGGGGGGAAGGAGAACACCCCTCAAAGAACGGGGTACGGGGGTCGCCACGAGAGGCACCTACAGCGACTATGCTAGTCTCAGCTGCAAGTAGCTCCTTCCCGAGGAGGGCAATGGTGAGCAGTGGGGCAACGAGCTAGGAAGTGGTCCCTGACAGCACGCAGTGTGTCAGGGAGGCGGGTGACTAGGTGGTAGAGAGTGAGCCAGACTAGAGGGGGTTGCGTGGCAAGGAACTCAGCAGGCATGGCGGCACGGAAGCAAGCCTCACTAGTACGGGGCCTTGACGGGGCTAGCAAGGGGCCGACGGGGCCTGAACGGGGCTAGCGCGGGGCCGACGGGGCCTGAAACGGGGCCGACGGGGCCTGAAACGGGGCTAGCGCGGGCCCGATCGGGGCCTGAATGGGGCTAGCGCGGGGCCGACGGGGCCTGAAACGGGGCCGACGGGGCCTGAAACGGGGCTAGCGCGGGCGTGATCGAGGCCTGAATGGGGCTAGCGCGGGGCCGACGGGGCCTGAGAGGGGCTAGCGCGGGGCCGACGGGGCCTGAAACGGGGCTAGCGCGGGCCGACGGGGCCTGAGAGGGGCTAGCGCGGGGCCGATGGGGCCTGAAACGGGGCCGACGGGGCCTGAAACGGGGCTAGCGCGGGCCGACGGGGCCGAGAGGGGCTAGCGCGGGGCCGACGGGGCCTGAAACGGGGCCGACGGGGCCTGAACGGGGCTAGCGCGGGGCCTGAACGGGGCCTTAAAGGGGCCGACGGGGCCTGAACGGGGCCGCTAGGGAGAGCCTGAAACGGGGCCGACGGGGCCTGAACGGGGCTAGCGCGGGGCCATCAAGAGGGGCCTCTAGGGGCGTGACACGCCGAGGCGCCCTAGGGCACAGGTAGGTAGGTAGGTAGGTAGTTACGTAGTGGTGGGCCCTTAGAAAATTTCGTTCCTAGGAAGGACCTGCTCTATACCATGTTGGAATCACTGAACAGGAATGAATGAACTAGCAGTGAAATGAATACAAGTACCTAACCCTATAATTGTGTACCCCCTATAGGCTAACCCACTGTAGCCTAAACTAACACAACATACATAATGTTTGACACACCCCCATAGGCAAGGTGGGAGACAAACAAGAGAACAAAGCAAGGTCAAGCTCAGGGTGGATCACGACGTCACCACACATTCTGAGCACAAGCAAAAGGCCACAAGGCCAGTCCACATGCAGAGTTATACATCAGGGAGAACAAGCAGTACAGTGATCTCAACCTCACAAGTGTAAGCATGCAGGTGCAGGCATATATAGATCACATTATAAGCAAAGTCAAGAGGTGAGCAAGTGAGGCTAGGTAGGTACAAGACCTAGCATACTACAGAAACGCTGATGATCACAAGGCCGAAGTGCCTTAGTGAAGATATCACCAGTATTGGCCCAAGTGGCCACGTAAGCAAGACGAAGCTGAGCACGCTGCAGCAACTCTCGAGCAAGGAAGTAGCGTAGAGCAATGTGCTTCGTTCTGTGCTCCAGTCTGTGCTCCTGACAGAAGGCAATCATGGCCTTGTTGTCGACGTACAGAACTGGAGGAGAACGAGGCGCCTCTCACTCCAAGGTGCTGAGTCTGGAGGTCTCTCCATAGCAAAATGGGAAGCGTGAACGTCTGACGGATGCCCTCCGCACGACCGAAGGCTCGCAGAAGGTTGGAGGAAAACTCACCACAACAAAATGGGAAGTGGACCACGCATAGTTTGCTCGCAGTTGACCACGCGCGACCTGTAGTTTGCTCGCAGTGGACTACGCGCGATGCTGCTGCTCGTCTTTCTGTTTGTAGTAACCTGCCGTCTGCTGAGCAAGACACTATACGATGCTGTTGTTGCGCGCTATTCCTCCCCTGCCACTGCTGCCCTTAGCCGCCTCATGCTACCGTACCTGTTTCCTGACCTAGCCGCCTTTACCATAGTCGCTGACCTCATTACGCACCTCCGCACTAGTGACAGCCGCTTGTCAGAACATTATAGCTTATGCTTTTGTGTAGGCTATAGTGGGGTAGCCCATATGGGGTACAACCCAATTAGGGTTAGTACTTGTACCCAACTGTTTCATACTGCATTCATTCTCGTTTCAGTTTTCTCATGGTATCGAGCAGGTTCCCTCGTGGGAACTGTTCCTACGGCCCACCGATTCGATTTTTTTTTCCTGCCCGGAGCGCGCTCAGCCCTTGCCCGAGTCACGCTCCCCCCCCCCTTTTTCTCACTGTGTCGCGCCGCCCTAGCGGGTGTGTCGCGCCGCCCTTGACGGCCCCGATCCGCCGCCCTAGTGGCCCCGTCGCCTACCCCGCGGCCCTCGCGCCGCCCTTCCCGGCCCTGACGCCGCCCTTCCCGACCCGGCTCCGCCCTTGCGGCCCCGTCGCCTACCTGCGGCCCCGTCGCCTACCTGCGGCCCCGGCCCTGCCCTTCCCGGCCCTGACGTCGCCCTTCCCGGCCCCGGCCCTGCCCTTCCCGGGCCCGACGTCGCCCTTCCCGGCCCCGGCGCTGCCCTTCCCGGCCCCGATCCGCCGCTCTGCGGCCCCGTCGCCTACCCCGCGGCCCCGGCGCCGCCCTTTCTCGGCCCCGATGCCGCCCTTCCCGACCCGGTCCAGCCTCTGCTGGCCCCGTCGCCTACCTTGCGGCCCCGGCGCCGCCCTTTCCCGGCCCCGACGCCGCCCTTCCCGACCCGGACCAGCCTCTGCTGGCCCCGTCGCCTACCTTGCGGCCCCGGCGCCGCCCTTTCCCGGCCCCGACGCCGCCCTTCCCGACCCGGCCCCGCCTTTGCTGGCCCCGTCTCCTACCTCTGCGGCCCCGACGCCTCTCTCCACGGCCCCGGCCCCGCATTCACGCGGCCCCGCCGAGCTCCAGATCCTGCCGAGCCGCCGAGCTGCAGTTCCTGCCGAGCCGCCAAGCCGCCCGAGCTGCCCTGTCCGATAAGAACAGCGCCTCTATCACTGCACTGCCCTTACCCCACTGTTCGCGCTGCTAGTCTACTGCTGTCATGGCTACCCCTAGTGTCCTCGCTTTTGACGCTGAGGGTCGGGCCATTGACTTTGACGTCTGGGTAGATGACCTGCAGCTTTTCCTACAGTGCGATAGGGCAGACGGTCTCTCCCTCTTTGACCTCACCTCTGGTGCCTCTCCTGCCCCTGCTGCTGATGGTGACGCCACTGTTCGCTCATAGTGAGCCACACGTGATGCTGCTGCACGTCTTGCTGTGCGTTGCCACCTGCCTACCTCTGAGCGTGCGCACTTTAGCCAGTACAAGAGTGCTCAGACCTTGTACGACGCTGTAGTTGCACGCTACTCCTCCCCTGCCACTGCTGCACTGAGCCGCCTCATGCTACCGTACCTCTTCCCTGACCTTGCTGCCTTTCCCACAGTCACTGACCTCATTACGCACCTCCGCACTAGTGACACTCGCTATTGCGCTGCGCTTCCTGCTGATTTCTGCGCCAAGAACCCCCCCCCCCCCATGTACATCACTCTCTACTACATAGCCACCCGTCTCCCTGACTCTCTTCGCGTAGTCAGGGACCACTTCCTCTCAGTTTGTCCCACCACTCTCACCGTTGACCTCCTCGAGAAGGCCCTCCTAGCAGCGGAGAAGAGCAGAGTCGCTGTAGGAGCCTCTCGTGGTGACCCTCGCACCCCCATCTTTGAGGGGTGTTCCCCCTCCCCCCTTTTGCCCTCTGTTGCCTCTGCTGCTGCGGCCGACCTCGTTGGGCTTGAGTCGGTCGGTGCGGCGTCTACCCCTAGCGGGAGATGCCGCCCTGGCAAGGGCAAGGGGGGCAAGGGCGCTGGAGGAGCTAGCGGGGGCGGTGGAGGCGGCGGTGGAGGTGGCGGAGGGAGTGGGGGTGGCGGTGGGAGTGGTGGCGAGGATGGAGGTGTCGGTGGCGGCAGTGGAGGCGGAGGCGGCGGCGGTGGCGGTGGGAGCGGAGGTGGCGGAGGTGGCGGCGGTGGAGGAGGAGGTGGCGGAGGAGGTGGAGCTGGTCGGGGTGGCGCTGCGCAGAGGGTCGGCTCCGGTGATAGTCAGCGCCAACAGCAGCAGCAGCAGCAGCAGCAGCAGCAGCAGCAGTGCACTCGTGACAACCCCCCCCCCTCAGCAGCTCCGTGAGTGGTACGCTGCACGCCAGCGGGGTGGGGGTACTGGTCCGTGCACCTACGTCCTCCGCACCGGCGACCGCGCGGGTGAGCAGTGTGGGGGTGCGCACTCCACCCAACGCTGCTTTGGCTGATTGACGAACGCTTGGCGTCACCAGTTCCCGGAGGCCACGGAGATCCCCCGCTGGGGTGAGCTGTCTAGGGCGGGAGTAGCTATCTTTGACCTTGACTTTGATGCTGTTCTTGCTGCCATGTATGCTGTGACTATTAGTGATGAGGGTGACTGTTACCGGTGTTTCCCGCCCGACCCGGGCATTAAGACTGCTGCTCTAGGTACTGGTGAGGCTGCTACTCTAGGTGCTAGCAAGGCTGCCGCTCTAGGTGCTAGTGCGTCTGCTTCCTCAGGTGGTGGTGAGTCCGCGCTCTCAGGTACCGAGTCGGCTTCGGCCTCCCTCACCTTCACCCTTGACACGGGGGCTTCTCGCTCCTTCTTTCGAGACCGCACCACACTCACGCCGCTTGGTCGGCCAGTTGCAGTCTCTCTGGCAAACCCCTCTGGGGGTCCTGTCCTTGCTCACTTCTCCACTGTCCTCCCGTGTCCGGTGGCTCCCTCTGGCACCCTGTCTGGTCTTTACCTCCCCTCGTTCTCTACAAACTTGGTGAGTGGTGGTGACCTACAGGATGGGGGAGTTCACCAGTTCACTCCTGCGAGCTAGCGGGTGACCCACTGCACGGACGCTCGGACGGGCCGACACTTGGCCACGTTTACTCGTCGGCGGGGGTCGAGCCTGTACACCCTGACCACAGCGTCTCCTCCCGTTGCTGAGTCTGGTAGGGTAGCTGCGTCCGGTCAGGTGTTTGCTGCAGCGTCCAGGTCTGGTCCTGAGTCTGCCCCCTGCTCGTGTCGCCTCCTGTCTCACGAGACTCTCCTTTGGCACCACCGCCTTGGTCACCCCTCGCTCATTCGTCTCCGAGGCATGGCCTCCCGTGTCCTTGTCTCTGGTCTTCCCCGGTCCCTCCCTCCCCTTCCTCTAGGACCTGGCCCTATCTGCGTCCCCTGTGTCGAGGGGCGGCAGCGTGCTGCCCCTCACTCCTCCCAGTTTCCTCCGACAGAGGCCCCGCTGCAGACGCTTCACATGGACGTGTGGGGCCCCGCGCGCGTCCGTGGACAGGGTCACGAGCGCTACTTCCTGCTGGTGGTTGACGACTACTCGCGTTACACCACAGTCTTCCCCTTGCGCAGCAAGGGTGATGTCACTGAGGTGTTGATCGACTGGATCCGCGCAGCTCGTCTCCAGCTCAGGCGGAGCTTCGGCTCGGACTTTCCTGTTCTGCGTCTGCACTCTGACAGAGGCGAAGAGTTCTCCTCTGGCCTTCTGCGCGCCTACTGTCGTGCACGAGGCATCTGCCAGACCTTCACGCTTCCGGACTCTCCACAGCAAAATGGGATTGCTGAGCGCCGCATTGGCATGGTCATGGATGTCGCCCGTACGTCCATGATGCATGCGGTTGCCCCCCATTTTCTGTGGCCGTTTGCGGTTCAGTACGTGGCGCATCAGATCAACCTTTACCCCAGGGTCTCCATGCCGGAGACCTCCCCAGCCTTGCTGTGGATGGGGAAGGTTGGGGATGCGTCTGCGTTCCGTGTCTGGGGATCTCGGGCGTTTGTCCGCGATTTGTCTGCAGACAAGCCGTCCCCTCGTGCGGCTCCTTGTGTCTTCCTTGGCTTCCCCCCTGACGCACCAGGGTGGCAGTTCTACCACCCCACCTCTCGCCGTGTTCTGTCCTCCCAGGACGTCACGTTTGACGAGTCAGTCCCCTACTACCGGCTCTTCCCCTACCGCACTCCGTCCCTCCCCCCGCCGCCGCTCTTCCTTGTACCAGGTTCCCCCCCGGTAGACCCCCTCCCCCTTCAGGGTCCGGCCCCTTCAGGTGTGTCCCAGGTAGACGGAGTCGAGCCTGTCGAGGTCACTGGTGACTCTAGTGCTGCTGAGGGTGCTGAGCCTGGGGGTGCTGACTCTGGGGGTGCTGAGCGTGTGGGTGCTACGACTGGGAGTGCTGAGACTGGGGGTGCTGCGACTGGGGGTGCTGAGACTGGGGGTGCTGAGCCTGGGGATGCTGCGCTTGGGGGTGCTACGCCTGGGGGTGCTGAGCCTGGGGGTGCTACATCTGGAGGTGCTGAGCCTGGGGGTGTGGAGCCTGAGGGAGCTGGGCCTGCTCGTGCGGCGTCTGGCGGTGCTGGGCCTAGAGGCTCTCCGGGTGCTTCGCCTCGGCGGGAGCTACTCTCTCCACAGGAGCTACGCAAGTGGTTTGCTCGACGCTGGAGGCATGCTGCTGGAGCTGGAGGTTCTTTGGCTGCTGAGGGTGCTGGTGCCGCAGGTCCTGGAGTTGCTCGTACTGGAGGTACTGGAGCTGCTGGGCCGGCGGGTGCAACTGGAGCTGGAGCTGCTAAGGGTGTTGACGCTGAGGCTACTGCTGTCGTTCCTGGAGGCGGTGCTCCTGTAGGTGCTACTGGTGCTGCTGGAGGTACTGAAGCTAGAGGTGCTGCTGGCGCTGGTGCTGCAGCTGGGGGTGCTGGTGCTGTCCCTGCTGTGTCTGGAGTCGCCGCGCGGCCTCGGCCGTACTTCATTCCGCTCCTTCAGCAGTTTCTTGGTCTCCCGCCTTCTACTAGTCCTCCTCCTCCCTTAGAGTGTCCACAGCCTATCCCGTCACAGTTACAGTTACCGCCAGCCTCCCCACTACCAGCTCCCTCTCCCTACACTGGTCCTACTGGAGGTCTTGCTGAGCATCGTGAGCCTGCGTCTCGCCCTACGTCGCCTGTCCGTGCTGCTCGCACTAGTGGTCGTAGTTCCCGTCAGCGTCCTCCTCCTATCCCTGACACGCACCGGATGTCTCTGCGTCCGTCCACTGCTCCTCTGCGTGCCCCTTTGCCTTCTCCTCCTGCTCTTCCTGACCCAGAGTCGGACTCTCTTCGTGCTGCCAGTCCTACTATCACGCGTCTCCTTGCTCCTGTCGTCACCGACCCTTCCTTTGAGTCCACTACTGCGTCTGCCCTTGTTGCTGAGCTCGTCGACTTTGCTGCTCGCTGTCGTCTAGACTACGCTGCTAGTCTTGTCGCTGAGTCTGAGTCTGTCTGTCCTCCGTCCGTCGGGGGTGAGTGTGCCCTTGGCACGGACGTCCTTGAGGACAGGCAGGAGGAGTTCCAGTGTCTGGCAGCTGCTTCACCTCATCTCGTGTCCGTACTGCTTACCCCTGAGGGAGACCCGGATGCACTAGACATCCCAACTCCGCGCTCTTACGCGGAGGCGATAGAGGGTCCCTACTCCTCTCAGTGGCAAGCAGCTATGGACGCAGAGATGGCTTCCTGGAAGTCCACAGGCACCTACGTTGACGAGGTTCCCCCGCTTGGGGCGAACATCGTCAGTGGCATGTGGATTTTCAGGGTGATGCGGCCGCCGGGTTCTCCGCCTGTTTTCAAGGCGCGGTACGTGGCTCATGGCTTCAGTCAGCGGCAGGGAGTTGGCTACTTTCAGACCTTCTCTCCCACCCCGAAGATGACCACTCTTCGGGTACTGCTGCACATAGCTGCTCACCGTGACTACAAGCTTCACTCTCTTGACTTCAGCACTGCTTTCTTGCAGGGCAGCCTGCACGTGGAGATCTGGCTGCGCCGCCCACTTGGCATCACTGGGACTTTTCCTCCTGGCACCAAGTGGAGCCTCCGGCGGCCATTCTACGGTCTCTGCCAGGCACCGCGTGAGTGGCACGAGCGGCTCTTGGGTTTGCTCCCTCTACTGCCGACCCGTCGCTGTTTCTGCGCACCGACACTTCTTTGCTGCCGTTCTACATCCTCGTGTACGTCGACGACTTGGTCTTTGCCATAGCTGACACTGCTGGACTCGCCCAGGTAAAGTCCAAGCTGCAGAAGAGACACACGTGCAGAGACCTGGGTGAACTGCGCAGCTACCTTGGCTTGCAGATCACCCGGGACAGAGCAAGCTGCACCATTACCCTGACTCAGTCACACATGGTGCAGCAGGTCCTTCAGCGCTTCGGCTTCACGTACTCCTCGCCTCAGGCCACTCCTCTGCCTACTCGCCACTCGCTCTCAGCTCTGCCTTCGGATAAGTCCGTAGAGTCGAGTGGCCCGTATCCAGAGCTTGTTGGCTGCCTTATGTACCTGATGACCTGCACTCGACCTGACCTTGCATACCCTCTTAGCATTCTCGCATGCTATGTTGCTTCTGGGAGACACAGACCGGAGCACATGGCTGCAGCGAAGAGGGTGTTGCGCTACTTGTGCAGTACATCGGGCATGGGGCTTGTGCTTGGAGGGCGGAGTCCAGTGGTCCTCACTGGGCACGCAGACGCTTCTTGGGCTGACGACCAGGCTACGCAGCGGTCGTCACAGGGTTACACCTTTAGCCTTGGTTCCGGCTCTGTTTCGTGGCGGGCTATCCGCTCGTCTTCTGTTCTCGGCTCCAGTTGTGAGGCTGAGATCTACGCCGGGGCCATGGCTGCACAGGAGCTTCGCTGGCTCACCTACCTGCTGACTGACCTCGGAGAGCCGCCTCGTTCTCCTCCAGTGCTGTACGTAGACAACAAGGCCATGCTGGCCTTGTGTCGAGAGCAGAGGCTGGAGCACAGAACGAAGCACATTGCTTTTCGCTACTTCCTTGCTCGTGAGCTGGAGCAGCGTGGTCAGCTGCGTCTTGCGTACGTGGCCTCTGAGGCCAACACTGCTGATATCTTCACTTAGGCGCTTGCGCCTTGTGATCATCAACGCTTCTGTACTCAGCTGGGTCTTGTGCCTGCCTTGCCTCACTTGCTCACCTCTTGACCTTGCTTGTATGTTACATATATATATACACCTGCTCTTGCTTGTCTAGCCTTTTATATATATATGTACTCCTGCATGTGAACTGGCCTTGTGGCCTTGACCTTGTGCTCGGACTGTGTGGTGACTTTGTGATCCACCCTGAGCTTGCTTTGCTTTGCTTTGCTTGACTGGTCTTGTGACCCCTTGTTCTCCCCCACTTTGCCTATGGGGGTGTGTCAGAACATTATAGCTTATGCTTTTGTGTAGGCTGTAGTGGGGTAGCCCATATGGGGTACAACCCAATTAGGGTTAGTACTTGTACCCAACTGTTTCATACTGCATTCATTCTCGTTTCAGTTTTCTCTCCGCTACCGCACTGCGCTTCCCCCCGAGTTTTGCGCCACCAACCCCCCCCCCCCCCCCCCGATGTACATCACCCTGTACTACCTCGTCACCCGGCTCCATGACTCCCTTCGCTCGGTCAGGGACCACTTCCTCTCTGTTTGCCCCACCACACTCATCGTTGACTCCCTTCGCTCGGTCAAGGAGCGCTTTCTTGCAGCTAAGAAGAGTATAGTCACTGTAGGAGCCCTCCGTGGTGACCCTCGTGCCCCTTTCTTTGAGGGGTGCTCCCCCGTCCCCCTTTTGCCCTCTGTTGCCTCTGCTGCTGCTGTCGACCTCGTTGGCACTGAGACGGTCGGCACTGCATCTGCTCTCAGTGGGAGGCGCCGCAGTGGCAAGGGCAAGGGGGGCAAGGGTGCTGGAGGAGATGGCGGGGGTGGGGGTGGTGGCTGTGGAGGCGGCGGTAGGGCTGGGGGTGGAGGTGGGGGTGGTGGCGGGAGTGGGGGCTTTGGTGGCGGCGGTGGAGGTGGAGGCGGAGGCGGCAGAGGCAGTGGGGGTGGCGGAGGCGGTGGTGGCGGCGGTGGTGCTGGTCGGGGTTGCGCTGTGCAGCGGGGAGGCCTTGGTGGTGGCCAGCGCCAGCAGCAGCAGCCTTCTTGTGAGACCTTGTCGCCCTAGCAGCTTCGTGAGTGGTACGGTGGGCGTGGGAGGTCTCGGGGTGCTGGTCCTTGTGAATACGTTCTCCGCACCGACGAGCGCAGTAGGGAGACGTGCGGAGGGCTGCACACCACGCACCGCTGTTTCGGCCGCCTTACTAACGCCTAGCGTGCACAGTCTCCTGACGCCACTGGGCTCCCTTGCTGGGGTGATATGCTTAGGTCGGGAGTTGCTATCTTTGATCTTGATTATGATGCTATCCTTGCTGCTATGTATGCTGTGACTATTAGTGGTGAGGGTCACTGTTACCTGTGTGTTCCGCCCGACCCGCGCATTGAGGCTGCTGCTCTAGGTGCTAGTGAGTCTACTGCTCCAGGTGCTGGTGAGTCTGCTCTCTTAGGTACCGCGTCGGCTCAGGCCTTGCACACGTTCACCCTTGACTCGGGTGCTTCCCGCTCCTTCTTTCGCGAATACACCACACTCTTGCCGCTCAGTCGGCCGGTGGCAGTCTCTCTGGCAGACCCCTCTGGGGGTCCGGTCCTTGCACACTCCTCCACGGTTCTGCCGTGTCCAGCGGTCCTGTCTAACTCTCTATCTGGCCTCCATCTTCCCTCGTTATCCACGAACTTGGTGAGTGGAGCTGACCTTCAGGACGCGTGGGTTGACCAGTTCACTCCTGGAGGTCAGCGGGTGACCCACTGTTCGTGTACTCGGATGGGCCGCCACCTGGCCACGTTCACCCGTCAGCCTGGGCCGAGCCTGTACACCCTGACCACTGTGTCTCCTCCGGTTGCTGAGTCTGGTCAGGTAGCTGCGTCGGGTCAGGTGTTTGCTGCAGCGTCCCGGTCTGGTCCTAAGTCTCCCCCCTGCTCGTGTCGCCTCCTGTCTCACCAGACTCTCCTCTGGCACCACCGCCTGGGTCACCCCTCCCTGCTTGGTCTCCGAGGCATGGCCTCCCGTGTCCTTGTCACTGGTCTTCCCCGGTCTCTCCCTCCTCTTCCCCCGGGGCCTACCCCTACCTGCGTTCCTTGCGTCGAGGGGCGGCAGCGCACCACTCCTCACTCCTCTGAGTTCCCTCCGACGGAGGCTCCCCTGTAGATTCTTCACATGGTCGTGTGGGGCCCAGCCCGCGTCCGTGGACAGGGACACGAGCGCTACTTTCTAATAGAGTTCTTACTAGTTGTTTTCACAGAGAAAGTTGGCAAGAGTTTCCACTAAAATTGAAAAGAATATTGAGAAATTGAGAATTGGAGTACACAAATCAGGCATGCAAGTGATATCACTAGAATCGCACTGGAATCCCTAGCAAGCATTCTGCAAGGCGAATTTCCAGCACTGCATCAAAGCGGTTTGCTAGCGTTGAAACAGGGCGGCTTGCCAGCGTAGCAGAAAGGCGACATGCCAGCGCTGCAACAAGGCGGCCTGCCAGCGCTGCATTCGCAGGTGAATATTTGCGCAGGTGTGCACCTGCTGAGTAGATGCAGGTAGACAGTTACACCGTCAGAGACATTGCGCAGGTGCCAGGTAGAAAACACTCCGATGGTTTCGTCAGATGTCCACCGTCGAGTACGTAATGCCATTTCGCAGGTCGAATTTTGCTAAGAGCCACCTGAGCGAATTTTGTTACAATAGCAAGTAGAAGATTAGAATAGGAAAGGGGGTTTGCACTAGCAGGCAGTTGAGTACAAATAGGAAACCCTCATTTGGACTATACTCGCTATAAGATACCCCACTGCACGCTAGACAAATATCACATTCTGACACACCCCCATAGTCAAAATGGGTTATAATCAGCACAGCAAGCAATCATAGAGCAGGTTCACAAGTACAAGCAAACCTAGAGGCATTCACAGAAGGCAAGTGAGGAGGAGGGACTATGAGAGGAGTGGAGATAGGAGGCAACCAGTGAAGACGCAGACATTCGGGCAACAGGAGCGGCTGGCACAGCGGCTACAGGAGCAGCGCCCTGGACTACTGGAGTAACTGGCTCTACGGCTAAGACAAGCGGCAGGAGCAACGGACCCATGGGTGTCTGGCGCAGCAAGCTCGCTGGGCTACCGGAGCAGAGCCCCGGACTACTGGCGCTGCCGACGACACGACGGCTGCCTCCGCTCAACCTCCCCCAACTGTCCCACCCCCTTTTCATACACCCCCTGCTGCACCCCTAGCTTCACTCCCACGACACCCCCCTAGCACCACTCTCTCGGCTCCCACACACCCACCCCCCTCAGTGGCAACTGCAGCAGTGGGAGACAAAGGAGGAGGAGGAGCAGGGGACGGCTCACACTCCCGCTACCCCCATACCCGCCACCCCCATACCCCCAACGTAGGTGGCACGGGGCAGAAACGCGGGCAGCAGCTGGGGCGCTTCGAGGGGTGACGGGCAAGGCGGCGCGCGGGCTCCCAGGGCACCGCGACGGGCGACGGGAGGGGGCGACGCGCGGGCCCCCAGGGCATTGCGACGGGCGATGGGCAGGGCGGCCCGCGGGCCCCCGGGGCGACGGGAGGGGGCGACGTGCGGGCCCCAGGGCGCCGCAACGGGCGACGGGCAGGGCGGCGCGTGGGCTCCCGGGGCGCGGCGACGGGCAACGGGAGGGTGGGCAGTGCGCAGGCCCCCGGGACGCCGCGACGGGCGACGGGAGGGGACAGCGCGCGGGCCCCTGGGGCGCCGCGACGGGCGACGGGAGGGGGGACGACATGCAGGCCCCTGGGGTGCCGTGACGGGCGACAAAACCGCCACGCGCCCCGAGCAGGTGGCGGGCAGAAAACCGCCGCGCGCCCCGAGCGCACAGTGGGAAGAAAATACGCTGCGTGCGCCGGGCGCGCGGTAGGCAAAAAACGTCGCGCGCCAGGACAGCAGCGGAAGCAAACGGTTGGCCCATCCACAGGATCTACCCTGGAGGGTCGACCCGCTCTGATAGCATGTCAGAATAGCAAGCTGAAGTTTAGAACAAGAAAAGGGGGTTTGCACTAGCAGGCAGTTGAGTACATATAGGAAACCCTAATTTGGACTATACTCGCTATAGAGTGCCCCACTGCAGGCTAGACAAATATCACATTCTGACAAATTTCACATGCCTTCGTAGAGTTTCGCAGTCGCGCGAATTTAGCCAGCCAGTTCGCCGAGATGAGACTCGCCGAACAGCACCCTTCGATCAGAGAACAGGGCTCCTCGGAAAGCATCGCGTTCGTCAGAGATCGCGCGACCCAAAAGCAGATTAGAAGACGAGCTCGTAGAACAGCATCCCGTCGACCAGAGCTCGTTGATGGGCTGGTGAATCAGAGGACAACCTCCCCAAAAACCACCCGCGGTTTCAGAGGACGGGCTGATCCAATGCGACAATCACTTAGTCGAATTCATCACGTTGTCGCAAAGAATGCCTGCGCCCAAGCAAGGGCTGGGCCTTTCACTTCGACACTCCCCTGCCCAGCTCAAGCTTGGGCCCCCACACAGAAGGTCCACCCAGAACCTAAATAATAGAACACAAGGGGATATTTCTCTGGCGTGCACACCCCCGCACGCCAATCACCGCACCAGCCATGTTAGAGGACATGGCACCTACTGCTGCACGTCGTCATCATCGTCGCCGATTTTGGCAAGGCGAACCTGGCCGACTGCGATAGAGCACCGGTTGAAGACTGAAAAATGCAGGGCCTTAGTGAGGAAGTCCTCCGGCTGCTCGGAAGTTGGGATGTATTCCAGCGCAATCTTCTTGCGCTTCACCATCTGTTGCAGCCATGTATAACGTCGCTCCATGTGCTTGAGGTTGCCCTTCAGCCCCAAGCCCTCAGCAACTGCGATGGCAGGCTGATTATCCACGTTCAGAGCATTCGGCGTCCCAGGGTCGAGGAGCTGGAACTGTCAGAATGAACAAGAGTGATTGCACTAGGAAAGAGTTGGGTACAAGTAAGAAACCCTAAACTTACTGTACCCCATAGTAACT